AAGTGTGCTTTCATGCTTGATCGAATCTATCGATTCGACACCGTTATTGCCCGGATCGAAGCGCTTTCTATTGAGCGCTTGCAAAAGCTGCTGCTGGAGAAGGATCGCCTCAAGTTCTGCATTGCCAGCATGTATCGGAAGAATAACGACGACTCTGGCGCGGAGACCAAGGCGGGGAATGGGACGGTTGACATGTCCGTCCTACCCGATGCCAGATACTCTGCACTGCTCCAGGAGGACTTCGCCTATTCAGGGTTTGAGTGCTGGGTTGAGAATGAGGATCAGACTCAGGAGCCACACAGCTGCCATGCTTCGGAAGGCCCTGGAAACCGACCCAGGAGATGCCGTGGTTGTGCAACTTTGCGGGTTGCTGATTCTGACTATGAAGCCATTTGTAAGGTGCCTCGAAAGGTGGCCAGAAGTATCTCCTGTGGCCCTTCTAGCAGGTGGTCCACCAGCATTTGCACTGAAGAACCAGCGCTGTCTGAGGTCGGGCCACCTGACTTAGCAAGCACAAAGGTACCCCCAGATGGAGAAAGCATGGAGGAAGAGACGCCGGGTTCCTCCGTGGAATCTTTGGATGCAAGCGTCCAGGCCAGCCCTCCACAACAGAAAGATGAGGAGACTGAGAGAAGTGCGAAGGAACTTGGAAAGTGTGACTGTTGTTCAGATGATCAGGCTCCGCAGCATGGGTGTAATCACAAGTTGGAGTTAGCTCTTAGCATGATTAAAGGTCTTGATTATAAGCCCATCCAGAGCCCCCGAGGGAGCAGGCTTCCGATTCCAGTGAAATCCAGCCCACCTGGAGCCAAGCCTGGCCATAGCATGACAGATGGAGGTAGTTCCGGTTTCCTTAACAGGTCTTTGAAACCCCTTTACAAGACACCTGTGACTTATCCCTTGGAGCTTTCAGACCTGCAGGAGCTGTGGGATGATCTCTGTGAAGATTATTTGCCGCTCCGGGTCCAGGTATACAAAATAGCTACACACTGCCTTTCTGATTATAGCTAGCTGGCCTCTGGCTTCACATGATTTCGGCCTAGGTGGAGGCTAGTAATATTCTAGACTTGAGAAAATCATGGGCCCATTTTTGCTGCACCTTTTGCTATGTCTCTTACAGAAACGTGATTTGCACTCATATAATTTTCATTTCACAATCCTTTTTGTAAAATCTGTTGGCATTCCCGTTATCGAATTGTATACCTTTTAAAACAAGAAGGTAAAGATTCCCAGTTCACTTTCATTCTATAAAAAGACATTTAATCTCATTTCGGGCACTAGAACTTTTCCTCTTAATTCCCTTTTCCTTCTTTTTTTTTTTTTTTTTTTTTTTTTTTCAGCTCTTTAAATTTGTTCGTGTTTTTAGATTTTAGACGTTTCCTCCCAATGGCTTTCTGTTAGGCAGTTAGTTCTCTAGTTCTTCCCAGAGCATTAAAGGCTTTCATCCGTAAAATGCCTGTAAATGATTACAGCATAAGGTAAAGGTTTGGGGAAAACCTATTAGTTTACCAGTAAAGTTTTATAACATCTGGACAATATTTATTATAATTAATAGATCATTTGAGGATTAGTGATGACTCATAAAAGAGACAGGAATTCAAGTATTCAAGTACGGTATTGTCACTGAAAATGTTAAGGCAGAAACTGTTCACAGCCAGAACTTTACTAAGTTCTACTAGAAGATATTTGATATTAAGAAAGGATTAATCGGGCCGGGCGCAGTGGCTCACGCCTATAATCCCAGCACTTTGGGAGGCCGAGGCGGGTGGATCACGAGGTCAAGAGGTCGAGACCATCCTGGTCAACATTGTGAAACCCTGTCTCTGCGAAAATACAAAAATTAGCTGGGCGTGGTGGCGCGCGCCTGTAGTCCCAGCTACTCGGGAGGCTGAGGCAGGAGAATTGCCTGAACCCAGGAGGCGGAGGTTGCGTTGAGCCGAGATCTCACCATTGCACTCCAGCCTGGGTAACAAGAGCAAAACTCCCTCTCAAAAAGAAAAAAGAGGATTAATCCATTATTGGATCAGAGGAGAGTTTCATCCATTATAGTCTCAAATACTTAATAATTAGAGGATGGCAGTTGCTTAATTTGAGCTATTCATGTCTGCCCAGTTGATTCTGTACCAACCTTTTAAATTCAGCTGTGGTAGTTTGTTTCTATAGCAACAGTAAATGCTAGGTTCAGTTAACTTTGTGAAACATTCTGGCATGTTCCACTTGATACAGCTTCTTTAATGATACAGTCACAAAGGTAGAAGGCATTTTTAGAAAGCTTTCTACTGGTCAACATCTTTCCAGAAATTTAGAACCTAATAAGTGTCATTGTTAATGGTCACATGACGTTTTTGAAAAGTAGTTCTATGATATGTATACTTTCTATCACAATAAGACCCTAAGCAGAAAACAGGAGAAAAGTTTTTAAACTTACACAAAATTAAGAGAAACAGCATAGATGAAAGTGTCATAAAAGGTAAAAAGTCAGTGTGTTTTCATTTGTATAAAATATTAAGTATTGTTTGCTTAACACCGTGTACTTCTATTCTTTTGCTGTTTTTCTTTCAGTGGAGCCTCACAGCTAAATTTGGGCTTTAAGGTATTTCTGTGACTAGATATAGGTGTTACAAATTAAACATGTTTTCATATTAGGCTCTAAAATTAGTTGGGCCAGGGTGGATGGGAAATAAACTCATTCCCGCAACCCCCCACCAAATATGGCCAATATTGTAGAACATTACATAAAGATTGAGAAAATAATAGCCAAAATAAGATTTTTTTCTCCATATTTAAATACTATATGTTGGCGACTGGATTTTGAAATTGAGAAGGATTTTAAAGATCATCTTCAGGCAGTTTCTCCATTTGGAGATATGGAAAGTTCATTGTTCAACCAACTTAGCCCATGCAGAGACAAAGATTTCCGACCATTCTCAGGCAAGACATTTAATTCTATACATTAAACCTCATTGTGTGAAGTATATAAATGTAAGTAAGTGTTTATTTTAAACTAGGAGCCCTCTTTCTTTAACCTGAAGATGCCTGGACGCTTCTTTAGAGATTACGTGAAAAAAAAAGTCATCTGAATGAATACATAAACTATGGTAACTGTATCTTTGGGTCAAGTCCCTTTACTTCAGTGAATTTGGACATTAGATCTTTAAAATAATAGCACATGACCTTTCTTACATTATTTACTAGAAAGACAAAAATTGGGAAGAGGGAGAAAATGTCATTCAGCTTCAAGAAATGTGACATTTAATTATTATGCCATTTTCTCTAATAATTTAGGATGTCAGGGAAAATAGATGAATTGGGCCCAATGTGTTTGGAAATAAAATAGGCAGCAAATCTATTGTTGAAATCTGGTTACTTTTAAAGCTCCTTAAGAGCCTTATGACAAAACCAGTGCTAGGGATAATGGCAGACTGGTTTTTGTCTATTTCTCTGAACAAATGTGGAAAGAATAGAAATAATGTAAATCTTTTTTTGCTAGTTCCCTTTTTAGTTCGTAGAAACACAAAACCGTGAAAGCAAAAATGTTTCCTTTCGTTCAGTTGTGCCACAAATATGAAGAAAATCTTTTAAAGAGCAAGATTGTTCTGTAAGGTCATTTTGATTCCTTTGTCTAATCCTCCACTTACCATATTGTATGCATATTGTATGCACTATTAAATATTAACATCTAGATTCCTCCTGATTGCTTTTCCTCTTTTTTCTTTACTTCTTTCCCTCTCTTCTTCTTTCTTCCTTTCTTATTAAAAATAGCAACAGTATAGTTTTGCTTACTGATATTCTGATATTATACAAAGTAATTTATTTGCCTTCCTAGGAATTTATGTATGTTCAGATATCTAAAGAAAGGTTTGAAGCCTTCTTCTACCTGGTAATTCCCTTCTTTATCATCTGGCCCTGAACTAGGACAGCTATCATGGGAGGGGTGTGGTCCCTTAGTAAATAGCAATGAGCTCTGGCCCATATGCAATTTCCCTTTCTATCTAAATTCAAAGAACAGGAGATCTTTGCTTTAAACCTTGCAATGCCAAGGTCTGCTCCTTTGGGACTATGGTAAATTTATCCCACTCATATTTTAGCTGTATAAAGTGGATCAGGCCCTTTGGAAGATGTTGGCATTAGATGCTGGTAAAAGATTAGGCCTTTAATTTTATGCTAGTCAGTGGTTCTTGTCTGTCTCCTATTATTAACAATAGGGATGAAAATTATAACAGTTTGAGATCTATAGCTCACTACTGGGAGGACTAAAAAGTGCCAAGAAAAATGCTGTTAACACAAAAGGTCTAAAAACTGGCCTTAACCTAAAAGTCTCATATTAGGCAACACTAGGCCTGGAAGCAGTTCTCTTTTCTGATACTGGAAAGCCTTTGTCCTAATTCTGAGTCAAAAGTGACTTAATTTAAAATTATATTATCATTTCCACATGATTTTAGTACCTGAGTGCCTTGAGAGTAACACTGATTCTATCAAATCAGGTATTATTTCTCGGACCACACTATCATCGTAGGAGTGATTGTTTTATGTACCTGATACTTCACAAGAATTCATTATGTTGTTGACTCAGTGGAACTTGCTGAGTGCTCTTTGAGCAGACTGTGACCTGCAAGGACATTTTTCTGAGATGTAAAATAGTAAATTATTACAAATAAAGGAGAAACAAATACCTTCCAACTTTTAGGTTAGTATGTGATCTCTTATGATTATTCATGCCAAGATTGGTTCATATGAGAGTCAGATTCTTTATGTACTTTCCTGTTGCACTCTTTGGCTTTAAAGTTGCTGTCTGAATGTATATTATATGTAGTCTTATTTCTAAGAGAGCCACTGAAGGCCTGTTTTTTTTTTTTTTTTTTTTTTTTTTCTTATTCATTAAACAAAAACTTTTGATCTCTGCAGTATTCCTGGCATTATGGTAGGCAGTGGGTTTATAGAAATGAGAGATACATTCCCAACCTGAGTGGGAATCCACTTCAGTTTAATTGGATTTTTTCCCCGATTTCCCATGTAACCTTGGACTAATTACATCTCTAAGTTTCTATTTCCGTGTATATAAAATAGGATTGGATTAGATGGTTAGTTTATAAAGTTTCTTTCACCGCTCTAAGATTCTTTGGTTTAAAGTAAATAAATATGACCACCTTCCCTGCCATTTTAAGCTTGAAGCTATTTTCTTTAATTCTGCCTGTTAAAGTTTAAATTTCAAAATATCTTACTGTAGATGTTATTGTCATTTTACACTGAGCAAGTAAGCCAAATTTTATGGAGAGAGTTTTATCATTAAGTAAATGATAAATATATTTATTAGTTGGAATTGTTGTAAATATCTATTAATGTGGTTACCTTGTCCGTGGTGTGACATAGTTCGTATTGCCCTGGGTGAAGGCTTTCTGTTATACCCACAACAACAAATATCTCATTTAAATAATTTTTTCAGAAGTCATTATCCTTGCTGCTTTTTTTCCCTTCTCCCACTATCCAGTCCACCAGCAAGTCCTGTTAGCTGTACTTTCAAAACATATCCATATCCATCCATTTATTTTCCCCTCCCTTACTACCACCAGAATCCAGGCCACTATTGTCTTTCACCTGCAGCCTCCTAGCTGGTCTCTCTGCTTCTGTTGGCGCTTCCCAATAATTCATTTACCACTGTGTGATCTTTTGAAAACTTATGTATGATTGCCTGTTAAAAAAAAAAAAAATGCATCTATTCTCATTCCAATTAAAATGAAATCCAGCTTCATTAACCCTGCTGTCTGAGGCTGGATGTGACCTGGTCCCCCACTGCCTCTCCACCCCATTGAGTGTCCCTATCCCCTTTGCCCACTATGCTGTAGCCCTGTGCTATCCAGCAAGCTAGCCACTAGCCTTTAGGAGCTGTTGAGTCCTTGAAATGTGGCTAGTCAGAATTGAGATGTGCTGTGAGTATAAAATCAACCTTGACGGCCGGGCGCGGTGGCTCAAGCCTGTAATCCCAACACTTTGGGAGGCCGAGGTGGGTGGGTCACGAGGTCAAGAGATCGAGACCATCCTGGTCAACATGGTGAAACCCCGTCTCTACTAAAAATACAAAAAATTAGCTGGGCATGGTGGTGCGTGCCTGTAATCCCAGCTACTCAGGAGGCTGAGGCAGGAGAATTGCCTGAACCCAGGAGGCGGAGGTTGCGGTGAGCCGAGATCGCGCCATTGCACTCCAGCCTGGGTAACAAGAGCGAAACTCCGTCTCAAAAAAAAAAAAAAAATCAACCTTGAATTTCAGACTTATGAAAAATCATGTAAAGTATCTCATTAATAATTTTGATATTGTTTGTTTATGACAACATTTTGGATATATTGGGTTAAATAAAATATTTTGTTAAAATTAAGCTTACCTATTTTTTACTTTGTTCATTGAAGCTACTAGAAAATTAAAAATTACCTAGATGGCTCACATTATATTTCTATTAGAGAATACTACTCTAGCCGCAGAGGCCTTTCTCTTTTCCAGGCTCATATTCCATTATCTGTTCTTTCTCCCTGGATTGTTCTGCTGATCTTTGCAGGACTGGTTCTGTTTCCTTCAGATCTCTATTTAAGTACTGCCTCATAAAGACCTTTCTCTGATCAAGCAATTTAGAGTAATTTAACCACCAACTCTATTATACTTTCCTATTTTACTGCATAGGGCTTGTCCCCAATGCTTTTCCCTTGTTTGTTTATTATGTACTCCCCACTCCAAGCCCTGCAAAACATGTTTCAAGAGCGCAGGGACTTTGTCTTGCATGGTACCCTATCTTCAGGACAGTGCTTAGTACATAGTTAGCGTGCAGCAGGTATCTTTTACGTCAGCATTGTATTCCTCACAGTGCCTCACATGGTGCTTTGCTTATTATAGTATTTGGTAGGTGTTAGAAAAGTTGATAAATAGCACTGAAGGAATAAAAAAGATTTTTCTTCTGAAATCTTTATGCATCCAGTCGGTTGCTAGCAGGAAGGGATTTAAGATAAGCTGTAATTCCACTGCCTTGAAGGTAGCAATCAAGCCTGAAAGCATGAGGGAAAGAAAAATTGAATAGCAGTTGCCTTTTTTCTCTTGGTGAATTTAGAATTTATATTCCTAATTGAAATGAAAACAGGTATGGAGGCGGGGAGATCAAATTTAATTGTCACGGTAAATTTGTAAAGTTTTATTTTGACATTCTTAGTTTGTAGTGATGACTAGTTTGTAGTTCAATAAGCTTGTCTTATTGTCCCATATGTAAATCATACTTTTTTTTGCTCCTGAATCTTTTTAGTGAATTGATATTTCTGTAAAACATATCTCCTTCCCTGTTCACTATGAATTATTTATCTATACTTATGCTGTAAATCTACCTTTAAGTAGGCACATCTATTTTAAACTTATTTTATTTGTTCTCTTTTTATTTTGAAACAATTTCAAATGTCCAGAGACATTATAAGAGAAATACCAAGAACTCCCATATGACCCTCACTCGGATTTACCAGTTGCAAATATTTTGTCACATTCGCTTTATCTCTCCCACTCTCTGTATTTGCACATTATATTTTTTAAATTCTTGATCCATTGGAGAATTAGTTGTAGATATTATACTCCTTTACCCTAAATACTTCAGCATTATTTCCTAATGACAAGGACATCTCATATAATTACAGTACAATTACCAAATTTAGAAAATTAGACATTGATAAAATACTGTTATCTAATATACAGTTCACATCAAAATCTGCCAATTTTTCCAATAATGTGAAACAAGCATGTTGTAAGAAAGGTAGCTGGAATGTAACTTCTCTCAGGAGTAGTGTGAGTTTGATGAGTATGCCTTTTCAACTCCTTGATTAAAAATAGAACAAAGCAAATATTTGGTCATTGCAAGCATTTCATGTATTAAATCCTCCCCTTCTCATTGAACTCTGAATGAGTTGCTTTCACTGAATAAATACATAGTGTTTGTGTGAATTGGTAGGGAAAAGTGGAGAGGGAAGCTAGAGAGCATAGTACAAATGGAGGTGAATCAGCGCTCTTAGTAAGGAACAGGCCTGGCTTTAGGAATTTATACTGATAATTTATGCAACAAACGTGATTTCTAAATCTCGGGCAAAAGATGCAACAGGCATTTTTGAAGATAAAAATAAAATTTTGTTGGCTGCATTTAATTCATCTTACTTATTTTGCTGTTTCTTCCCAGCCTGTGACTGAAGAGTTACTCAAACGACAAAAGCTGAATTCACATGAGACCACTGTAACTCATCAGTCTGTATCTGATTCCCATTTGGCAGAACTCCAGGAAAAAATCCAGCAAACAGAGGCCACCAACAAGGTATTAGTATTATGCCCTAGGAGATGACAGGGTTTTCCTGAGGATGTGCCTGGCACTAGCCTGAATCCATCAGCCTGCGTAGGACTTGGGAGATGAATGCTGTGTACTCCTTGTGCTCTAGGGAATATTTCATTTAAAAGTGTAGCTCTTCCCTTTATTCTTATCAAGATTTTAGCTTGTTCTGTACAGCTTATAATTTCTGGTGCTTTTCAGGTGTGTAATTAAAACTTGCATGCAGACCGGGCACAGTGGCTCACACCTGTAATCCCAGTGCTTTGGGAGCCAAGACAGACAGATCATGAGGTCAGGAGTTTGAGACCAGCCTGGTCAACATGATGAAACCCTGTCTCTACTAAAAACACAAAAAATTAGCCAGACGTTGTGGCAGGTGCCTGTAACCCCAGCTACTTGGGAGGCTGAGGCAGGAGAATCGCTTGAACCCGGGAGGTGAAGGCTGCCATGAGCTAAGACCATGCCACTGCACTCCAACCTGGGCAACAGAGTGAGACTCTGTCTCAGAAAACAAAACAAAACAAAAAACTTGCATACGACCTTTAACTGTAAAAGGCACAGAGATAGGAGGTCTGTGTTTTTTATTTTATCTTAACTTACCACTTTCTAGACTATGAATTTTAATGCCTGGTTTAGAAGAAAATTACTACAATTTGGGATGCTGAACTTGTGGCCTGGGTGCCCTGATAGTACCCTCCTATGCTAGATAGCATAAGTTCTTTGGTCGTGGCATAAGGGATCCATATTATGAACCACGTGCCTAGTTGGTCCATGTGGAAAAGTCCCTAGTATGACTGTCATCATAAAGCAAGCACAGTGCATAAAAATTGAGACAATTGAGTACTGAAGGAAGTATTTCATTTTTCCTGCTAGTTTTTGTTGCTGATTGACTTATGACTCTAATGGTTACTGTATATGGGAAAAATAACAAGGTAATATCTCCTAAGAAATTCTTTAAATTCTAGATTTGAGGAAAGGCTATATTCACTTGAAGTTAAAAGACATCATTGACCTAAAAAACTGTTTTTCTTTGCTGAATTCAGATTCTTCAAGAGAAACTTAATGAAATGAGCTATGAACTAAAGTGTGCTCAGGAGTCATCTCAAAAGCAAGATGGTACAATTCAGAACCTCAAGGAAACTCTGAAAAGCAGGGAAAGTGAGGTAAAATATTTAGCAATCAAGGACCTGTGTGGAAACAATTGGTCCCATCAAAGTAGACAAGTATTTTATGTTTTGTCAAAATGGATATTGCTAAACTAACAGATCTTAGACTGGAGAAATTGTAGCTTAACATCAAATGATATTTCGGAATAGTCCTGGTACTAAAATCTGTACGGGTGAGATAATGGAATTTATAGTTAGTTTCGTAACATGTGTGATGTTCCCTCTCTCATTTTTAGACTGAGGAGTTGTACCGGGTGATTGAAGGTCAAAATGACACAATGGCAAAGCTTCGAGAAATGCTACACCAAAGCCAGCTTGGACAACTTCACGTATGTGAGGGTCACATAGGACAGGAGAGACTTCAGTTGGGGATGTGCCACTTTGGTTGCAGTCTTGATTTTATTTCCACAGTCTTTGCTGGGACTCCGTGCTTGCCCTCCTTGTGATTGATTTCTACTCTCTTTTCAGAGCTCAGAGGGTACTGCCCCAGCTCAGCAACAGGTGGCTCTGCTTGATCTTCAGAGTGCTTTATTCTGCAGCCAGCTTGAAATACAGAAGCTCCAGAGGGTGGTACGACAGAAAGAGCGCCAACTGGCTGACGCCAAACAATGTGTGCAGTTTGTAGAGGCTGCAGCACACGAGAGAGAACAGCAGAAAGAGGCTTCTTGGAAACATAACCGGGTAAATCATTAACTATTTTATAGCCCTAAATGCTGACTTTGTCCTGATAATGACTTTTTAGCAGGATAGTTTGTGTTGAACCATTGAGTCACTTGCCAGTGATTGTTGAACTCAAATACTTAGATTTGAACTCAAATAAAATTCAAGCTTAATAAAACTGCCCTTGTACCATGTGCTAGTCACAGTAGTCCCCCCTTATCCGCAGTTTCACTTTCCACGGTTTCAGTTATCGGGGTCAACCAGTCCAAAAATATTAAGATATTTCAAGAGAGACCACATTCACATAATTTTTATTATAGCATGTTGTTATAATTCTTCTATTTTATTGCTATTGTCAATCTGTTAGTATGTCTAATTTATAAGTAAAACTTTATCATAGTTATCTATGTATAGGAAAAAAACAGCATATATAGGCTTCCGTGCTAGCTGTGGTTTCAGGCATCCACTGGGCATGTATCCTCTGTGGGTGACGGGGGACTACTGTGTTGAGTTGTGCCCTGGAAATACAAGGATGAATAGCACAGGCCCCGTTCTTTTAAGTTACTTATAGTTTAGTATGAGAGACTGTCACAAGCTGAATTTCAGTGTGGTAAGTTCCGAAGGGGGTCTATGTATGGGGTCCTACAGGAATATCTAGCTGAGGCTGAGGAAAGGAGTTAAGGAAAGCTTCATGAAGTAGGAGATACCTGAGGTTATTCTTGAAGGATGGGTAAAACCAGAGAGAAAAGCGGGGAAGAACCACTAAGGTCAGAGGAATGGCATGTGTGATAATCAGCCCTGTATTTTATTTTTTGTAATAAATACACAATTATAATAAATAATTGTGAATAATAAAATACACAATTCTTAAATGGTTCCTTTATCTTGTTAGCTTAGATCACATGTGTTTAGGATTTAAAAGATTTTTTTTGTGATCTCTTCAGCCCTTTAATACTCAGGTTTAAAAGTATAATTTTTGAAGGTTCTCCCTGGTTTAGTGGCTTGTAGATTAAATATTAGCCCTGAATTTCCTTTTGAAATATTAAAATTTCAGATGTCTTGGCAGGGTTGGGAAGTGGTGGAGGGATGGGGGTAGAAACAATTTTTAATTTTTTGTTATTTACCTAAAGGAAAAAATTTTCCAAGGTTTGTTTAGTTGATGAGAATATATATTTTGGGAGCTTTCTAAAGTAACAGATGATTTAAATAT